CCGTCGGTCGCTCGTTCTCCTTCGCTCACACGTTCTCCGTTGGTCGCTCGTTCTCCGTCGGCCGCTCGCTCTTTCTCGCTTGCCGCTCTGTTCGTTTCTTGCTAGCTGCGTTCAGCCAAATTCAACGTTCCAGATCCTACCAAGGTCCTGATCCTTGAGACCAATCCTTCTGCTTCTCCGCGACTCCTGTCGCTTTTTTAATTATTTTCCACAGGCACCTGATTTGTGCGCTGTCGTTTTCTTCAGCCGCTCGGGCTTATCGCTGAGTCGGAGTTATCTTGCTCTCGCTCAGTTACTCGAGAGTGCCTCCCTTATGTGCTCCTCTCTTTTATTGTGTCGTCTTACGCCTTCCTTCGCTGATAGTAGTTAGCATAGGTCAGTTACTTACTGCCTATTTCTCTGTGAGAATCGTCTGTTGCTTATTAACTCAGTTGTTACTGTTTTCCCTGATACTCAAGATTTTTATTTCTTTTGTTGCAGATTCCTGGAGTATCTTCTCAGCGTGTCTATGCAGCATCCCACCGCTGCCACCAATTTTGTTACCTCGCGTGAGGTCGAGGATGCTGCGGGAGAGGGACGCCGAGGGGATTTACTATTATGTTATAACACTTATTAAATTTTAAATAAATTCATTTATTTCGTACTCAGCNTTGATTACACTGCCACTCACTCGCGATTTCCTAAGTCTTTACGAGCGATGCTCTGATGGGCAGAGCCTCCGGCCGCGACACTATTCTAGACGATTCTACCGTTTCCGCCCGGACACCGGCTTATATCCTCGAGTCAATCACTCTGTGATTGGCCGAGGAAAACCAGGCGACATCCGGCCTTCGAAAAGTGCAATGCAAACCATTGCATCTTTTCGGCTGCATGTGCGACCTTCGACCGGTGCGTCCTTGCGCACGCGGTCGCATATCGCCTCGCGACTGCTGACTGGACATCCGCGCCGGATTCCAGTCCCCCGTTTAAAGTAATACTAAACCCAGTAACCAAACCCCGAATTTAAGCAATACCGCTTATTAGGCAACACTTAATACATTAACTTAATACATAATTTAATACATACCTTAATACATAACTTAATACATAATTTATAACACAGTATATTTTTTGAATACATATATTTATATACAATTGTGTTTTTGAATTGTAGACTTTTGCCAAGTTGGCAGAAATGGATATATTGCCAAGGTTTAATTTTAGAAAATGGTACTTTTGATGCGTCTGATTTGTGGCAAAACATAGAGAAGATATATATAACCCAGAGAAAATTAGAAGAAAGTCTCGAATTGTTACCTTGTTCTGGACATACTATTTTGCAATCTTTACGTTTTATTGAAGTTAATCTACTAACCAAAAGAAGATCTGTTAATGTTCTTTTCGAAAGTGTAGCAAAATATTCAAAAGATGTTACATTATTTAAGAGTATAATAAGCAGAATGAATAATGTTGCAAGGTAACGATGTTCTGTATATAAAACTGTTTTAACTGTTAAATTTATATTTATACTGTACAGATAAATATATTTTATATAGTTTGTATATTTATGTAAAGTGATTTAATTAATACATTAGTTTATTATATCATGTGTAAGAATATGTTGTATGTAAATAAAAATGTCTTGCACAAAGTATCTAATATCTGTGTTTTTTTCTAGTGACAATCTCCTTACAGTGATTATTTTCATTATTAACAACACATATTCAAAAGAAAATCTTGGAAAGGTATGATGTGTGAACTTAATTGTTTATTGTTGCTGTAAATGTATAACATAAATCATATATGTATATGGTAGCGTTAATGCTTGAAGCACTGGCAATCTTAAAAAACCAAAACTATTTCGGACTGCGGCCAAAACGCTTAGTTTCTTTGTGTATTGACTAGTAACTTTTAAGCTTGTTGGTGCTTTGGGCTTTGACGCTAACAAATACATATTTATATAAGCACGCGTGCATAGTAAAAGTATAATAGTATTTTATATATATGTGTAGTTTTGTTTAGCATAATAAAAAAAATATACGCAATGTATAAGAATTTTGCGTAATATAAGTCATCAAAGTCAATATTAGTAACATAAAGTTTTTTCAGATTCCTGCAGAACTGAATGTTGTAAACCTGATCGACATGTATAATATAAAGAAAGTAAAGGTTTTTTTTATAAATATAAAAATTAATATTTGTAAATTTAGTTTTGTATTTGTTCATTGCTTTTTACTTGTTTAAACATATTTTGTTTTTATTTTTAATACATAAACTGGTTGTTTTAGTATATTTTCGTTTCTTTTCCAAAAATGGATTCTACAACGTTCTCAACCTTATGCAACACTATGCCACATGATGTTATATTAATTGTAATGTTTTTTTGTAGGCAAGATTCATACTTGAGAACATTACGAAAAAAGTTGAAAATCGTCGTAACGTTTTAAATAAAATAAGTAGTGCCATTCGTCGTATTTAATATAATTAAATAAGGTGTTTTTTATGGTGGTATGCTTTATTTAAATAAAAAACAATATTCATATATTGCGTTTAATACCAGAGTACCTTTTATATAAGAAAACTTAATTTTTATTTTACGACACTAAATAAGTACTTATTAATTATGTTTAAAATCGGAAGTATAGACTCAAGATTTTAATACATTTAAAAATTTTCAAAGTAGTCATAAAATAAAGTCGAGTCTTTAGTAAGCTAACTAACAATAATATATTGTATTTTATTTTACATAACTGTTAATATATATAAATTTAAGTATAATCAACTGCACAGAAATAAATATATATTCATCGTACGCTATATGAAAAACACGATGATAAAGTATAAAACTGAAATGTAAGGAAAAGAGAGAAAGAAACAATCTGTATAAGACAGGATATACATATATGTATGTCGTAATATGGCGCTTCTTTTTATGTACTTTTTAAACTGTAAATGATACGTTAGTTATAGTTTAATGTTTAAATGTATTATTTTTGTTTTATTTTGTATGTTTCTATGGAAATGTTTTTTAAGAGTTACTCAATAAAATAAAAAAAGAGTTACTTTTTAGCATTGCAGATGTCATCCGACAAGACGCAATGATCAACAATGCTTTTTTTGAGAGACCGGAAGTCGCGCGGTTAAGTGTGACCAATCACGAATAAGTAACGATGTTCTATTTGACCGGGGATTCAAGGACGGATGACAGAGACGTAGAACATACGTGCCCAAAAAGATCTACTCCAAAGCAAGCCGCATATTTCGAACGTAACTTTACGCAAGTCACTGCGTACATCTGCGTGAAAAGAGGATAACCAAAAGTCTAGTTCATAGTTAAAAAAGTGTTGATTTCAATACAGTTTTACAGAGATTCCAAGTGTGTTTCATTCCGTTGATTTATCTTACGAACGAATCTTTTTAATCCACGAGAGAGTAACAATATAAAAGTTGTAACTACTTGTGATTTTCTTTACAATATCCCAAATATAGATTTAGAAAAAAGAAAGTAATATCTTGTATAAAACATTTTGCATATAAAAGTGTATTTGTGCATAAAATCGTGAAAAGACATATTTTAAATTTGATGTTTCTACCATCATATGTGTACAGAGAGTACAACTTCAGTAAGGTCAGTTTTCTTAACACAGAAGTTTATACATCGAAGTATGTATTTAGTATTCTACGGAAATGACTACTTTGTAATCACCGATGATTTCTCGAAGAAGAAAGAAGACCTCAGATACGCTTAAGGCTGATCGTTTTTGAACTCGTATATTTCGCTGCAATAAGTGTGTGTGAAGATTTTTAGTTCAATGAATTGAATTGCTATAATAAACATGGTAAGTAACTATAAGCTTGTATAGTATTTAAATAGTAATTATTCACAAATATTGTCAAATACGACTTACTTTTCTCTTTACGCTAAATAGAATGTCAAGTCCGTTCTCTTTCTTTTAAGAACAAAATTCATACATAGTATATCTCTACTATTTCATTATCGTATCTAAACTCTTACTGTACAATTTTTAATATTTGATAGATATTATACATAAAAATATATAGTTATTAATTCGATCGGAAAGTTACTTTTCCATATTGTTATTATATATAATTGTTATGTTTACGCGCAGAGTAAGATATAGACAGTTTTTTGAAATTTATTTCGTTTAATGAGAGATAATTACGTATCTCTCAAAAATTTTCATCGCATAATCTGTACTTTTTTTCTTTGGTTTGTCATATTTTGAATTTTTAAAAACATATTCTTGCCAAATATTGTGGACAGTTTTCTTGAATTTTATTTTGTTTGTTAAGATAATTCCGTATATTTTTCAAAAACGTTCAACGCACAATCTGTATTTTTCTTTTTTTGTTTTGTTATATTTTTAATTGATGAAAACATATTCTTGACAAATATTGTGTGTGCATATATACACATGTATATTTGATAGAAATAAAGGTGTATTGATAAACATACTTATAAACACCTCTATGCTTGACACTTGAGTATTTGAGAGAGAGAGAGAAAAAGAGAGAAAGAGAGATAGAGAGAGAGAAAGAAAGAGAGAGAGAGAGAGAGAGAGAGAGAGAGAGAGAGAGAGAGAGAGAAAACAACCATGTGATCGTAACACATTAAATTCTTACAATTACGTTTTAAACGATAGTTTATGTTTATCAAACAAAATAATTTTACAGTTACAGATTACGAAAATACTTACATTCTTCGGAATCATATACTTAATTCTTATTATCGGAATTGCTTCTACCACTAATAAGAATTTGTCTAAGGAAACGCACTGTATAGAACCGATAAAATATATAATGAATATTTTTCCGGAAGTACAAAATAATTCTTTCACCGTCGTTTCTCGTGTCATACTAAATGTTTCATGTACAGCGCAGCAAAACATAAGAGTATATTACGGACGTTATTGTGATAAACCTACAATTAATATGGATACTAATGTACTTTATAATTTTACTTCTCTCTTTTGGAAGATAAACTTATCTTCGTCGTTGTCTACCACAGATCAAGTCAAAAGCTTGGATATCAGTCTCATTAAACACGAAAAAAACATTAAAATACAGCAACAAAAAGTACATCTACAATCTGGAATGTATTGGATATATGCAAAATATAATTGTACTTTAGAAAAAGTTGCAACGGTTTCTCCATATGTAAAACAACCTAACGAGAAAAGGTAAGTGCGTAATAAGCTGATGCATTACTACTTACTGTCTTATTAAAGTAGCGTTTAAACATTTTATTATTAAATTACTTTAATTTATATTTTTATTAAATCATTAATAATTTATTAATAAGTAATTTATCTATTAAATTATCGATACTCACGATTTTTTCACTACATAGATATTTGATTTTATCGCGTATTCCTGCTGAATGGATATTTCCTTATTTCGATAATGCCGCAATCAAGGCCAGCTTTTCTATTCGTATTAGACATAATAACACTGAAACAGCTCTATCACATACGCCTGGTGATGAACTAATAGAAAAAAATGAACTGTATACTTTATTTCGTACTACTTCTTTGATGTCCAATCATTTAATAGTAGCCGCAATTGTACCAAGTGACTGTGTTAAAGCTACTTTCTCGTTGAGTAAAAATGTTAATATGTCAAGTAGATTACAAGTAATAAATGACACTACATATGCACGATCTCTTATTACTGATATCACGAGATATATTAAAACCAACTGGGAGAACATCGTAGGAGTTTCACCTGTGCAGTACGTGGCACTTCCAGTAAATTCTAGCTTTTACGAAAGTGTAGTAACTACTAACCTTGTTCTCTTCAGGTAAGATACATGTTTTCATACATTTGTTTATAAACTGAGCTTATAAACAAATATATATATTAAAAACAATCTTATTTTCAGAGAGGCTGACGTTGTATACAATAGAAAAATAGATTCGATTATAAGAAAAAGACAAGTAACTTGTTTAGTAGCACGTAGTGTGATACAAGAAATGTTCAGTGATTGGTTAACTACATTTAAACAATCTAATCTTTCTTTCATCGAAAGTTTTTCAACATTTTACGGAGTCTATATAATTAATAAGGTAATTCTTGTGAATGTGTAATTCAGATGTTTCCTTCACATTAAATTATTTTTAGTAATAAAGAATGAATTTAACAAACTATAATAATTAAATATAATATTTATATATTTCTATATGTTTTTTACTTTGTCTGTAATAAAAAATGTAAATAGATAGTAAAATGTATAAATATTATGTGCACATACATGTATATGTGTATATATAAAATAATATACATACAAAACGTTATAAAAGAAAACCGATATGTGTTAATTAGTATGACATCTCACAAAATTTATTGAGGAATTTATAATGTTACATTACATATATACTAACTGATTAAATTATATACAAAAGTGCGTAATAATTTTCCTAGCACTAATTTGCATATACTAAAACGTTTTCTGTCTGTGAACAATATCACAGATTTGTTCTCACTAGATAATATCGCTCAATATTACACAATATTATTTTAACTAAAATAGAAAACACTCATCTGTATCTATAAAATAAATTGTTGATAGATTTACAATGAGCCACTACTGAAGTCAATTGTGGTTCAGACACGACGAGAAGTTTGTGATTATATAGAAGCATTCATTGAATTTCCACTCCAAAATAGTTTATTTGCATCACGAAACTCAACGTTAAGTAAACTGAAAGAAAAAAAAGGTAATATAAATTAATTTAAAAAATAAAGTTACTTAGCTCTTTGTTCGTAAGATTGCTTAACAATAAGAGATCCCGATATGCATATATTATCTTAGGAATATACAGTAGTGTCTGTGATTATATTATTGAGATACTTCAATCATGTTTATTGATAGTGAACTTTTTTGGAGCTCGAGAGTTATTCTTACAATCTGTCTAAATTATTTGTCTTTGTATGTAACGTTGATATCCAAACTAACGATATCACATGTCTAGTTTATTTTTAATGCGGTATCTATTTTGTCATATTTTGTATTTACTCAAAAGTCGCGAGTAGCGCAGACAAATCAAGCTGTTACTTTGGTCTTCTTGATAAGTAAATTTGCGGATACTACAGTATTATATATTTACTTAAAACTTAGAATAATAATAAAGCACGGAAGTACATGTGTTTCATATCTATATCAATATGATATGAAACAAGCAAAGTACGTTTGTAAAGAGCCGATAGTTTGTGCTTTGTTAGATCAAAAAAGAAAACCTATTAGTAAAAAAATTATAAATAATTGAAAGATAAAAAGAAGAAAAATAGAGATAAAACTTTTATATTATATTACACAGAACAGCCCTGAACTCAGCCAAAACTGATACAGCAGCTTTAACACATAAAAATGTCGAAAATGTCTATTAAACATGTCCAGATGGTCTCGAAGTTATACAATATAGAAGTTACTTTTTTGTAAGAAAACATGAATTGATCTAAATGTTGTTTAATGATTTTTATTCTGATTGAACTTTACAAAAGATGCTCAAAAGTTTTTTGGTTGACTTCTGTTTGACACACTTTTTTAGCACGAATTAATAAATTGTTTCGAGTATTTTGAAAAATGTTACGAGACTTTCAGTATGTCGTCGTATCTCTCAAAGTATGCATGTTAAACGATATTAGAGTTAAAAATAATTAACATAGTGATGATATTTAAAGGTGTAATTAATTTACTTTGTTTTGGTTTACTTTTGGTTTATGTTGTTTACTTTGTTTATATATTTACTTCACTTCAAATTTTCTTACGAGAGCAACTTCGATAACTTCGGGATTGCTCGAATTCGAACATAGCTCTCTTAGTAAACATTTTCGATTTTTTTTTATGTACTAAAGTCACTGTATCAGTTTTGGCATTGAGTTCAAAAACACTGTGTATGTACATAACATTCTTACATTAAATTTCTATGAGTGTTTAATTTTCTATGTGTGTATATATGTAAAGTAGTTTTATTTTATGATTTTAAATGCATTATTTATTCTTTTGATCAAACTTTAATAGTTTTCACGCGATGTAAATTACATATGTTACAGCATTCAATATATTCTATATGATCAATGAGTTTTCTTACAACAGCGATGTCATATACGATCTCATGTTTGAAGATGCGATAATCTTGTACTATAACACGTAAGTATACCTAAATTATTAGAATGTTTCAAAAGTTATTAGTTATACGTAATTTACACTAGACATACCAACGTTAGAACGTGTAAAAGTCGTCAAATATTTATTTTCAGAAATATTATTTTATCTCTTTAAAATTAACATCAAAATATTTTTTGTTTTGCTCTCTGTTCTTCTTAATAGTACAAAAGATACGTACAATGAACAGTCACTTTTCAATACTTTATGGGACAAATTAATGCTCGTGCCGCCCATATATACAACTCACTCTTTGAAGTCAAGAAATATAAAAACTGTAATAACTTCTTGGACAACACAACTTGGATATCCTGTGATACAAGTAAAACGATACAGTAAGACACAGTCTCTGACAATAATGGTTATAGACTGTTTTGCGGTTGATGAAAAGGAGCCCTGTGATCGCAAATGGTGGATACCTGTGACTTATGTAAAAATACCAAAGAATGAGTTTATTACAAAGTATCATTTATTCTTACAACCAGACGGACAAAAAATCTCGATTTCAAATATTAAAGAAGATGATTGTATTATAATAATGGGACAAGATGGTAACAGACATTTGCTATAATGTTCTATTTATTCTGTATATATTACACATCCAAATTATACTAATATTATTACAGTTATACTTACTTTTATATAGATTTATCTTTTGTCTCTATCTTTCTCTATCTCGATCTCTTTCTATTTTTCTTTCTAAACATTTATTTGTTGTAGGATATCGCGTCAACTACGACACCAAATCTTGGAAAAATATAAGACTGTTTCTGAATAATGAAAATCCTAAGATTTTAAATTTATCAGACGTCACTTTAGCGCACATTCTCGACGATGCTTTTTATTTTTTAATACAAAATACGGTTTATAATGGAAATCCTGTTTCACATGATGCCAATCTAAACATATATTTCGATCTTGCAAACAATGTTTTACATGTACAGAAGTCGTACATAACGTGGTATCCTGTACTTACTGCTCTTCAATACTTATCAAAAAGTTTTCCGTATCCAGAAAGTGCAAGTATTAAGGTAAATATTACTACAATGCATTAAGAAAAATACATAATTGAAAAGCCAAAAGAACAACAACAAAATGATAAAAAACATCAGTGAGGTATTTTTATAACATTTTATACCACACGTTTCGCTGCACCCATTTTTTTGAATCATCAACATAAAACAATTATTTATAACTTAAAATTAGAGCATAGAGAATAAACGGAAGATCATACACATACAAAACAACGTACCACCAGAGTACTATAGTATAATTAAATACAAAATTTAAAATACAAAAAATTGAACATTGGAGATATGTAATAAGTACTATTTTCTAAATTGAATAAAATAGTACATCTTTGTTACTTTGTATTCAAATATATCTTACATATATGATTTTGTAAATATGAGAAAATAAAAAATTGTTGCGCATACATGTATTATTAATATTGAAACATAAAACTTATTAAATAAGACAAAATAAGTTTTACATTATTACTAAACTAAAACAATTTTAATTAAAATTAAGAATTATTGATATATAAAATTTAATATAAAAGTATATTTTACATTTTTTTAGACTAAAATTCTAACCATATTGAATATCTTTCTCGAAAATACATCACACAAAAAATTTATTAGATTTAAACTTATTAGATAAAACAATATAAGTTTCACATAAATGTTACTAAACAAAAAAGTGTTAAATAAACTGAAGATAAAATATACTATAAAAGTATAGTTTACACTTTTTCAGACTAAAATCCTTCAACTACTGAATTTCTTTTTCGAGAATACATCACAAAAACAATTTTCCGAAAATAGTATTGATAATCAAGTATATCACGAACTTGTAAAATGGATATGTATTCTTGATGGTTTAAAGTGCAAAGAACATGTTAATGCTATATTAAAGTGGCATTTAGAAAATCCTGCAAAAAACAAGTACGTTTCTCTGCTTTATATGACGTCATCTTGCTACTGTAGTATTTTATATTGCATANTTGTGAAATGAATCTTGATACATATTGAGTATTATAATAGTGTAAGGAAAGTAGAAACTTGCGACTTATGCTGTAAATAACTTTAAGTACATAATAAGTACATATACATTTATCTATAAAATATACATATATTTTTATACAGTATATTTTTTGTATACATATATTTATATACAATTGTGTTTTTGAATTGTAGACTTTTGCCAAGTTGGCAAAAATGGATATATTGCCAAGGTTTAATTTTAGAAAATGGTACTTTTGATGCGTCTGATTTGTGGCGAAACATAGAGAAGATATATTTAACCCAGAGAAAATTAGAAGAAATTTTTGAATTGTTATCTTGTTCTGGACATAATATTTTGCAATCTTTACGTTTTAGTGAAGTTAAACTATTAACCAAAAGAAGATCTGTTAATGTTCTTTTTGATAGTGTAGCAAAATATTCAAAAGACGTTACATTATTGAATAGTATCATAAGCAGAATAAATAATGTTGCAAGGTAATGGATGTTTTGTATATAAAACTGTGTATATTTATACTGTATAGATAAATTTATTTTATATAGTTTATATTTATATTTATATTTATATTTATGTAAAGTGATTTAATTAATACATTGTTTTCTCGTATCATGTGTGAAAATATCTTGTATGTACATAAAACTTTCTTGCACTAAGTATCTATTATTTGTGGTCTTTTTTATAGAGACAATCTACTTGCAGTTGTCACTTTTATTATTAACAACACGTATTCAGAAGAAAATCTTAAAAAGGTATAATATGTGACCCTTATCGTTTATTGTTGCTTTAAAAGTAGAACATAAAACATATATGTGTATATGTAAAAACACATGTGTGTATTAAAAGTATAATGATAAGTTTTATATATGTAGTTTTGAGTAGCATATTAAAAAAATATACGGAGTGTATAAAAATTTTGCGTAATATATGTCATCAAGTTCAGTGTTACTAACATAAAGTGTTTTTAGATTTCTGTAGGACTGATTTATAATAACCTGATCGACATATATAATATAGAGAAGGTAAAAGTTTTTATATAAATATAAAAATATAAGGTTTTAAAATAGTTTTTTTTTGCATTTGTGCAATGCTTTATACTTGTTTAAACAAATTTTTGTTTATTTTATTTCTGATACGTAAACTGGTTTTCTTTTGAGTGTATTTTCGTTTCTTTTACAATACTGTATTTTACAGAATTTTTTGACTTATGCAAAACTATGCTATAAGATGTTATGATAACTGTATTTTATTTTTTTGTAGGCAAGATTCATGCTTGACATCATTATGAAGAAAGTTGAGAATCGTCGTACGTTTTTAAATAAAATAAGTAGTAACGATTGTCACAAACCGCACGAATTATTTAAATCTTACGTATAAATAAGATTTTTTTTGTATAGTGGTATGCTGTTTTACGTAAATAAAAAACAATATTCATATGTTTTGTTTAATAGTAGAGCAATTTTTTTTGTATAAGAAGCCTCAATTTATTTTATGACACCAACAAGTACTTATTAAGTATGTTTAAAATCGGAAGTATAGACTCCGGATTTTAATACATTTAATAATTTGCTAAGTAGTCATAAAATAAAGTTGAGTCTTTAGTAAACTAACTAACAATAATATATTGTATCTTACTTTACACAACTGTTAGTATGTATAAATTTAATTATAACCAACTGCGCAGAAATAAATATACATTAAGCGTTATTATATGTATTACCGCTATATAAAAAACACGACATTAAGGTATAAAACTGTGAAATGTAAGAAAAAATAGACAACAATCTGTATCAGACAGTGTTATGTATGTATATCAAGCTATGTTACTTATTCAAACCCTTACTTAACTCTGTTAGTACTTACTTCTTTTTATGTACTTAGAAACCCTTATTCAAACGATTAGTACTTACTTCTTTTTATGTACTTAGAAACCTGTAAATGACAATTTAATTTTACTTCAATCTTATAACTAATTATTTTCTTTTTGTTTAGTAAGTATGTGTGAAAAAAATAATTTTTTCAGAATTAATTGTAGTAAAACTCGTATTTAAAAAATAAACTTTGTGTGTTAGTTTTTAAAGTTACCTTAGTTCGTAGTAATAAGCAATATATCCAAGTAAGTTTATATGTACACATGTTTAGTCGCGTTTAGTCAGTTGTTTACTACCAAAGCTTTAAAATTCTCGTGGAAGTAACAATATTACATTTAAAAGTTCAACTTACTTTTCTATGATTTTCTTTACAGATATCAAGTATAGAGGCTTAAGGAATAAAAAAAATATCTTATATAAAGCATTCTGTAAATAAGATTAATTTGTACATAAAATCGTTAACCGGTTAACTGGCACGGCTTTTTTTACTATTCATGCCCGAACTGGCACCATCGAAAAATTAAGTGAATCCCACAAGATTTGGTATACAAGGGTTTTTTGAGTCGCCAAATCGATTCCGGGGGTTATTTTGTTGATCTGACACTCCCCAACCCCTAAAAAATAGAATTTAGGGGTGAGTTTTTTTAATTCTTTACTAAACCTTTTTTTTTATTCTGTCGCTTGTATTGCGGAATGAATAGGGGTTTAGGGGGTTAATTT